CATCAACTCCGCTCGTTTCGATAAATATCCAAAATGTTGAAACGTAACAGCTATTTCCTCTCTCGCGTATCGATTCGCGGGTTCAACGTTTGAACAATTTTAGATTCGATCGCGCATAGAGAAATTTTGGAAAGTTCCAAATATCCACATAACTTGTCAAACGTACTAAACTTTCATGCTTCGAACGAAAAGAGCCATAGTCGTATAGATACAAACGTTCAACCTCTATATGATCATACGTATACACTTTACGTAAAAAGTAAGAAATATAATATAATATCTTTGTTATAGGTAATAAAATTTACGTATATTTCAATAGTTTGAATATTTCTGTTACGATCGTATTGAATTATAAATGAATATTATATTTCCTACTTCTTTAACTATAATTTTTATAATGATTTTTGATATTTACAATATTCACTTACTGTCAAAATCGTACGAATTTATTTATATATTTTCTATTCTTTTTAAATAAAAAATTATCGCTTATCGTATCAACTGATTACATAAATTTTAATTCCAATTCATCTTGAAATTCAAAAGCAAACGATTAGATTGTTTCTTAATTTTTACCAGTAAGTGGGTATATTATATCAATCACTGATATAGAGATCAAATATATATATACGTATAAAAAAAGGAAAAGTACGAAATCATGCGTGATCAATCGAGTTTACGTGGAATCGTAACCGTATCGCGAGCCGTATAGCGTTCTGAAAACGCGTGTCGCTGTGTTATTGCTTCTGACTCGATTTAACTACCGAATTTATACGGGATGCTTGCTATATGCAAATGAATGGCGCGAAGCTTCGAGCTTTTAATCGTGACCCGACCGGCTTAACCACCTACCGAATCCGACATTGAAACCATTTTCTCGTAATTCTGGAGAATCGTCAGCCTATATCCGCGACCTAACCTCGATCATCCTCGATCGTGAATCGATGCGACTATCTCTTGTTTTTTCGTACTCGTAATTTTTTTTGGAGGGAATCTTTCACTTCGTTCATTTAAATATGCAAAAATTCGCTTCGAATTGGAGAGGAGTGGAATTAGTAGAGCAATCGGTTCGCGTATTTTATTGACGTGTAAATAGTGCTTTTCGGTGAAATTGATATTAGTTTTTATTCGGGCGGCAATTATTTTAATAGTTAATTTAATTTTACTCAACGAAATATTTTATATTAATATCGCGCGAATTTCGATTCGAATTGACAATCGCGTGACATCAACGATAAAATTACCAATTATACGTACGTAATATAAATTATTTAAATTTCAATAGCTTTGAATTCGGATAATTTTAACGGAATTAATTTTAAAAATCAATTAATCAGAATTAAAATCGTTACTTCGAAATATTATATACGTTTCATTTCCTCTAATCGAATCTGTTTAAAAATAAAAAAAATTTCTACGCAATTTCAAATTAAAGATTATAATTCCTATCCTCTCTCTAACGCGCATCGCGTAGATTAACGAAATACTCGAGCACACGTTCACAAATAACGAATAAGAAAAAAACCGATTGATCAAACCAAAAACTTTTTTACGCGGTATTTAAAAATTTTTTTCACTAAAAGTACACACGGAAATAGTTTCGCGAATTTTTTTTCCGTTACTCGATACCTTCGAATCGAATTAGCTCGACGCTAATTACACGCGCGTTTTAATTCGTCGACTCGGAATGCATCGGCTCGATTGCAGGGCATTATAATTAAATTTTAATTCGATTAAAAAATTTTTTTTTTATAATCGACCCACGCCGTGCAAAGTCGTCCTCCCCCGTCGTCCAAACGATTTTTTTCGCTCCGTTTTCGGGATAAAAAACGAAAGTTTCGCCTTCGAGCGATACGAATATTTCGTATGTGCTTCTCGACAACCGTCCTCGAGAACGAGAATTCTATAACTGAGGCTCGCGCGTATTATGCTTACGAACGATCGTACGGAACTGTGTGTTTATATTATACGTATGTTTATATACGTAAATCGAGGCGAAAGATTTCCGAGAACGTCGGGAGAAAGGAGGGGAGAGGTCGGATATCGACGGATTTCTCGATTTTGTAGACAATAACACGCGTGTATATATTCAAACGGAGGAAAAAGTTATTGTTATTATTATCGTTGGTTGGAATAGTTTTGTCGGGTGAATACATTCAGATTCAGAGTTCACTTGTACTGAAATTCTCTTTTTCTGGGTGGATTTGAATTTTTAAAAAAATCGTCTAAGAGAGCCGAGTATCGAGACATTGATATTAAAGATAAATCTTGTGGAATAAATAAAGAGATTTACATTTTTGAAATTCAAATATATCTCCTTCTTCTTTTTTTTTTTTTTTTTAAGGTTTTCAAATCTCGCAACGAATGTATTTTTTGGCGTCGAATGGGATTGTAATGCGAGAAATATTATATCGATAATATTTCGTGGAAATGTAAGTTTCTGTTTCCAGGGAGCACATTATTTTCGAAATATTTAAATAAAATTTCGCGTGTTCGGAGAAATATCGTGGAATAATAAAAGATCGTCGAAGAAATCAGAGGCTCCATCTCGCTCGAATCTGAATCGAAGGATACAATAATAAAAATCTACGAGTCTCGAGAAAATTTAATCTAAAGATCACACGATACAACATTTTCTATTCCCCTTAACAATCTTAACAATCTTAACGATCGACCATACCTCAAAAATTCCTATAAAAGTAAAATTTATTACCTCTTCTTAGATCCAACAACCATTAACCGAAACCACCTTCGAACGAAAATCTTGGAAATCAAACGATCCACGCATCGAATCATTTTTTACAATAATTACAAACTCGTTAAATTCGACGCTCCTAATAAAAACCTACATATTTTCAAACAAGGAGGAAAACGAGTTTCGATCCTTTATAACCCTCCCGTCTCACCGTGTACGTATGAAAACTGTATGCACGCGAGCCGTTGGCCGAAATGCACCACGGCCAGATTCTTACGTGCAAAACGGTTGATGGCGATCAATGGATGGCGGCGCCGCGGAAGGAGATTGAAGGTGATGGGCAGAACAGACGGCGAAGCCTGGCCACGAGGCATTCAACGAGGCTAACTCTATCCCGGCAAATTACATTTCCATCCCGGTGCGTGATAGGTGCAGCAAACATGCCCGTCAACGTCCGACCGAGTTTCTCCCTGATTAGTTATACTCGACGCACGGATTATATTTCCAAAGGCAATTAATTAACCAACTTCCTCGTGAGTCGACGCGCGACGTGTCACTATATATGTATGTACGTGTATATGTAGTGGCCGGGAGGACAGTGGCCGGTTGGACGGGACAGGGTTTTGGAAAATGAAATTTCTCAGCGGGGCCGCTTTAATGGAAACTGTCGCCGAAAACGTCAGGATAAAGCCTTTCCGATCGACAATCGCACGATTGAACTGGTTTCGATGTGCTCGAAAGACGAGGTCTTTCTTATTTTTCGAGTATTCCATCGTGTTATCGTCAATGGGTAATCAAAGGAAATTATTGGAAATATCGTGTAGTTGAATAGTTAGACACGTGAATAGTTTCGACGCGATTATTGCTAATGGTGGTTGAAAAAATTATTTAACAAGCAGAATTAAGCACGATAACGTTTCGTGTATTATTTTTATGCAATGATGTATTTAAGTGATTTCATATTCTTGATTATTAAATATATAAATATATTTATATTCTTGATTATATAAGAAGTTTCTAAGTTTAAAAGTTTGGTTAATTTCGTTTAAAATGTAGAATTAGCGATTAGTCGAATTTAATCGATCGACGTAACAATTAAAATTCGTCTCTCAAAGATATCTCTATTTCCGTCTCGTAATGTCAAATGGGGAGTGCCTCGAGTCTTTAATAATCCTAAATCCCGTTGAATATCAAATCTTACTTTAATATTTTCAAAGAAAATTCCCAGAAATTCCGACGAAGGGAAATTAAAACGTGTCCCTGCGCAAGATTTCCCCGGGTTCCCGCGTTTCGGCCAGCTTAACGTCGCTGCAGGAAACGTTGAAGTTTCCAGTTTTGCTTACATCGCGTGAAACGAGTGGAATTTGCGATGCAACGTTCGCGTAATTTTCGTCGATAAATTCATCGAACAAATGACGTTATCGAAAATGCATATTCCAAAACTTTGTCTTTGTCTTTGTAAGAATACGAATAGAATTCGATAACAAAACTCTCGAATCGCGATAAAAACGACCATTCATAATATTGATAATAACTTTCACTCTCGATACAGTATCCATTAACGAACAATAACTTTCGAGAGTTTTTTCACTCTAAAATGTATTCCCGTACTTTTATATCGCGAAACGTACGATAACACATAAAAGTGCAAAATAGAGTTTGAAAAAATAAAAGTCTCGTTTTCAAAATTATTTCTCGTCCACGGCATGAAATACAAGTCCAGTTCTACTTTACAACTTAAGTCGACAAGGTAGAGAATGGGGAACGTTGTTTCGAAACGACAAGCCACGGATGTCCCGCAGTGGCGAGTGAATAACACGAAAAACGAATATCGTTCGTGATAAAGTCGGCTCGGCTGACCAACGGTAAACTACTCCACTTGTCGCGAGCATATTGCACACGGGCTGTCAGCTCGCGTTACGCGTACACGCCAACGCGATTACCTCGGTGGAAATATTTCACGATAACCCGGATAGGGTTAAACGAGATACCATTTAATACACCGCGAGCCGCGTGAACATTTTGTTCAGTTTGCACCGCGTTAATTATGAGCACGTCAAGGCTTGCCGATGTACTTCCGTTCACGTTGTACGCGTTACGTATGGAATGGATTTAATTTCGCGTTAATCCCGTGAATGATAACACGATTGATACATTTCCCCAATCCGTTTACTAAAATCTCACGTATATTTATCCATTAAAACAACAACGGTAAACGTATAAACGTCTCTTTAAAAATTTCTCCTTTGAAAAACTTTCGATTGAAAACTCGGTCTTGAAAGAATAACGAAAACCATCCACTCACCCAATCAAGTGTCTCTAGCACAGCTGTGGAGCTGGCCTATTGTTATCCTCGATGGTAGCGCCTCGTTGCACATCCGATCGCCTCAAGATCGTTTCCCGAACTCGCATCGAGGTGTAGCCGATCGAAGAACCATCTCCTCGTCGATCACCGAGCCCTTCCTCATTCCGTTCCCTTCACTTCGAAACAAACTCGGTCGAAACACCGTCCGCCGCGACGTCACACGTGATCGACTCGATCTCGTATATCCACATACGGTTAATGAGAGCATACGAGTGACTCGCTTTTATTTCGACGAGAAACACGTCCAACGATACATGGATACGAAAGGATACGCGTGAAGAAAAGGGGATGGGAGGAATGACGTTCGCGTTCGTAACGAGAGGGATGCTCGAGCCCGAGGCAAAACAAAAGCAAGACGGAGGGAACGACGTTACGCACGCGGTGGCCAGTCGCAGACTGAACTCGCGATCCGCGAGTAGCATCGATTTCGGTGGAGGGGGAAGAGACTACCTGCCGTGAGTGGAGGGGTTGGAGGGGGGCGCGAGGGTGGAAGGGACGAGGGCGGACGAGGCACAACGAGAGGAGCAGTCAACCTATACGCGTGTCTAACGGTCGCGTTGGACGAGAGCTTATTTCGCTTCGTGAGAGCTGCTTCAGAACTAGACAGAGAGTGAGAGAAAGAGAGAGAGAGAGCGTAAGCGTGAGTGTACATTCCGTCTGGTCGAAATGATGCGCGGAGACGATCGTGAAAATATGAACAGAAATTTTACTTTTTACTTATTATGGAACTATTATCTGGTGTTTGTTAATGCGATGTAATTGAAAAATTGTAGTTGCAAATCTAAGATGCATAAGAGAAGGAAGAAAAGAATAGTTTTAGAATTAATATTGAAATGAATAGGCTATTAGTCCTAGTCTGGGTAATAGTTCTTTTCTATTAATTAAACGAAAAATATTAGTCGAATTAGATGGATTTTTATGTGTGAATTTAATTTAATCAATAGATTCATGTAAGCAGAGCTTTATGTATAATGTTTGGAGGAGAAAGTTGTACACTTTTTCATCTAGATATTTTTACATGATTAATGAGTTGTAACATGTAGTAATTGTTTTATATTTTCTAAATTTGTACGATTAATAGAATTGTAATTTAATTATTACTAAATTTGTTATCGTTTTATGAGAGAATATATTAATACTGATAGTTTTTAATTAATATTTATTTTATAGATTGATCTCTCTCTCGTTTTTTCTAGTTTGTAAAATATTGTCCTTTTAATTAAAGATTAAATAAAAATAATCCTAAATAGAGGAATTCACTTTAGAGTCATGACCTCAGGAATATACTTTTTTCTTGGCAGATTGCAATGAAAAAGAACGAGTCACAAACTGAATTAACTAGCAACAAGTTAAATTAATTTCCTCACGAATTTTACAAAAAGTCTCATACTAATTAATCAACAGTTTTTATCAATTTACTATATAATAAATACCAATATATTTCTTATCAAAACTAATATGCTATAAATCAATTTTTCAAACCAAAATATAACTATTTTTCTAAAAAGTAGTTCAAAGTACCTTTCTGCTTTTAAGAAAGAAAATTTCATTTTTTGATACGCTACGTATGATTTACACCAATTGCCAGTATACAAAGTGTCGAAATTTTTACAAATGAAATTGAAATTTCTCTTAAGAGGAACTTTCATAACCAATATTATTAAAAAGGTTGATAAGTAATCCGAAAAATCCGAAATTTTAAAAAACCGATCAAATAAATAATAATCAATCAATTCAAAATATATACAAGTCTCAAAAGAAAACCCTGCAACGAGAAATTTCCAATTTCCTTTCGCGGATTTTCAATTTTCCATTGATTTCCGGCAAAAACAAATCGCGAAAAGAAAAAGAAGGAACAAAAAAAAAAACAAAATCAAATATTCTAAAAATACGCTCCATCGTTTTACGTATAATACAACTACTACTACTACTACTACTACTACTACTACTTTTCGCCAAAAAAAAAAAATCCACAACTACTTTTTCAATTTACAACAAAATCGATTCTTGATCGTCGTTTCCACCGCGTCGAAATTTGTTCGGTTTTCGCGCTTCGAACGAATCTCGCCCCCCTTTTTGCCTTTCCTTCCAACCTTAATCCGCGTGTCCTCGAGTTTGTTCCCCGATTCCCGCCAATATCGCCTCCCTCGGTGCCGATTGCATTATCCGCGCTGGGATTTCGGCGGGGAATCTCGTTTGACAGAGGGCGAATCGGCTCGGCCATTGTTGTTCTCCATTCGTGATCGGATGCAATGCTTTTGCAGCTGATGGCGCGATTATTTTGTTTCGCGGCTCGACGTTTTCGGGACGTTTGATTGGCGTTCTGGACGGGTTAATGGGCGTGTTGTTGAATTGCTATGATGATTGAGAAATAAAGTGCGTGAGATTTGTTGTCGATCTATGGTAAAAATCGAACGAGTAGTTGGGAATCGAGGTAATTTAATTTTTTCTTCTTGTTGATTTCTTTTTTTTTTTCTTTTTTTTTTTGTTTTCGAAGAAAATTCTAGAGAAAGGTAAAGTGTGTACGATTATTTTTGAAATAAATATCTTGAAATAGGACAGGATTTATGTGTTTCGATGTGGATTGGCGAACTAGGATCATTATTCAATCGTGTAACTATACCGTGGAACGTACAAATCAATTGTTATTAATTCGGGGCATATTGACACGTAATGTGTGGCTTTTGTTATCCGTGAATACAGAAAATTTCGAAGTGGTATTATTTTATTTTATTTATTTTCGAATTAAATATTATCTGAACCTATTCAGAGACGGTATTTAATAATTTTTTGGCAGTCTGAGTTATTTTTTATAATATTTATTTTCTCTCTTCTCTTTTCTCTTTTCTTTCTGTTTTACTCTCACTAACGATTCGAGGATAATATGCAATTTTGATAGAGGAATTATTTCTGAAGAATGAAAAAATGCAATATAAAATATATAAATATAACTATTATATACAAATAGTAGAAACTTAATTTGGAAGAAAAATTATTTCTAAAGTGGATAGCAATGATGAAAAATTAATTTGGGAAGGCGAATCGATCGAAACGCCGTATTTATTCTATTTTCTTAATAATCTCCAACGATTAATTATTAATCGTTCCATCATTTATCACTTCTCTTTCCCAATAGTAAAAAAAGTATCGAAAACCGGCCGCTGTTGTGAGGTTCGTGTTATTGACGATTCTGGAATAGTTTGATAGAAGGTTAAAATCCCAGGAAGCCGTCGTCGTGCGTGCTAAAAATCAAACCCAATGACTTTATTTTTTTTTTCTTTCTTTCCTTTCTTTCGTGTCTCGTGCGACTATTATGTGAATTTTATTAACCAAATTGAAAAAGTAGAATTTCTCAAACGATCCGTTAAATTACGTTTGCTCGATTGGAAATTTTTATTCATAAATTTCTCTTCATTCAGTTATTCGATATCGCAAATTTGAATTGCTGAAATTTAAGTAAGAACTTCTTCTCTTTTTTTATTATTTTTATTTTCATCACTTATGCGAATTGATCAATTTCATTAAGAAAAATTTGTTCGATTGTAGAAATGTTAAATATCAATTTACACATTTTGATAAAGAAAGATTAAAATTTGTTGAGAGATCGATTTTCTGAGTACCTTCATATATTCGTTACACTGAAATCTACAAGTTACATTATTAATACAATACCAATGTCAATTTCTCTCGCGAAAATAATAATTTTAGCAAAATCAATAATAACCATTTATTAAAAAAAAAATTTTAAAAATTCTGAAAATCACGAATCGAAGAAGATTTACACAATTTACACATTCTAAACTCTAAAGAAACTTTACCATTATTCAATATTACAATATTACAATATTATTATATTGATATAACTTCGTTAATATCACAAATCGAAAATTGTCAGAGGCAGATACGAATTATTCTACTCGATAAATTCCTCGATCTTCTCCGTGGAGGAGAAGAGTTTCGATTTCGACGCGAAAGGAAAATGTCGTGGGGCCGATGAAGGGATCCCAGGTACGCGTTGAATGGTGCGCTAATGCTAGGGTTGGCCGGCTGCGATTGTCGATCGACGCACGTCGCCGACGATAATCGTCGATCAACGACGGATTCAACGTCACGCGTGGTCGACAAAGGCAAACAGCGGTTGTCCGTGATTCGTCAATCCGTTTGCCAACGTTATTACGCGATCACAACGATCGTTGGATGAATAATCCTTCCGTGGTTTCGCCACTTACCGAGTCACCTTCCCTTTTAACCTGGCTTCTCCATCCGAATAATATCCTTCTCGATGCCTCTCGATGTCGAGCCTGTAATTAAGCCTTGCCTGTTTCTCGAAACAATTATATGTATTGATTCTCGATGAAATTGCATGAAATTAGATTTATATTCTTAGTTTATTTCAATCGCTGTTTCGAATTATTTCGTATTTAAATCGTTGATATTTATATCAGGTATAGATGTACATGCTTCATTGCATATTAAATGCGAATTTTTCTGATGAATTTCTCTTGGTATATTTTTTACACGATCACAAGTAATTACGAAGGAAAATAATTTGTTTGCCAATGATTGTTATTAAGTAATAGCAGAATTCTTTCCGATAATTAATTATTTCCATATCTCGCATAATACGAGCGAGATATTGCTCTTTGTATTATTGAAATACGAGGTAAAGTTTGAATCTTTAAAAAATAATTTTCTTCTCGGATTAAATTTAAAAACAATACTCGTGTTCCTGCAAGTCAATTTTTCTTACGTTCATCCCGCATGGAAATTTTTCGAAAACATGACATAATATAAAATAAAATATAATTTCAGAAATATCCAATCTCTTTCCATCGTCCATTATTTTCCATATAAATTTTCAAAATTCTCAAAGAGAGATCTTCGATCAAATCTCATCGTTCGTACAACACTGTTAAAAGAATTAAATCTAAAGAAAACAAAATCGAACGGCCCAAGAAAATCTTCTTCCTTCATCTCGACAAAGAAGCGGATCCACTCGAATCAAAAGGGGGAGATTAACGGTTTCCTTTAAATTCCACTCACTACAGAAGATACACTCAACTAACGATATCTACTCCCTTATTCTCGAATATTAATTAAGCGAATATTAATTCACGAACGAGCAGCCCAATTAGAGCAGCCAGAGGATTTCGAAATCCAACGTCATCGATCGATTTCCCTTACCAACGCTTACTCTAATTATTTTAATTTCGATAATTTCTGGTCTAATCGAATGGCGAATAAAGAAAAAAGCAAAACAAAAAAAGAGAAAGAAAAATAACCTTCGAGATGCTTTCAGTTCAGTTGTTTAAACAACCAACGAGATCTCGACGGTGAGCGATCTCCAAGTCTTATCC